ATGTACTATCTTTCATTGTGAATCTTTGACTACTGAACTATTTTCAGAAGTCTGATGTTCAGTTTCCAAACATAGGGAGATTTTCTCATTCTTTTTGTGGTTGATTTTTCGCCCAATTCCATTGGCTCAGAAAACTGACTCAGAGTAAGCACAGTCCTTTGAGGTTTGTTGTTACTTTAGGGCTTAGCTCGTGGCATATTTATAAAAAGAGTCCTTCTGCATTTGTAAAGTGAGTGTTTTCTGTACATGTGGGTTTGATGAGTTTGTTAATTGTGCTGTTGCATGTTTCTAGATGATTTTTTTGTTCGTTCTATCAGTTACTAGGAGAAATATGTTAAAAGTTTTTACTGTGACTACGGATTTGTCTGTTTCTTTTGTATATTTGTCAATTTAATCTTTGTGCATTCTAACACTATTATTAGTTGCATATATAAAAATTACTTTATCTTCCTTTTGAAGCTGCATTTTTAACTGGAGCATTTTTCTATTTACTTTTATTGTATTTTCTGATATATTAGCATTTGATCTAATGATTTTTTTAGATTCTTTCTCTTTATCCCCATTCTGTGCTCCTATTTTTTTCTCTCTTCTTTTAGATTTTTTTTCCTTTTATCATTCCATAGCCTACTCCCATTCACTTGTTATACTTTTTTAAAATTACTAGTCTTTGACAGTCTGTAGGGAGTTGTACTGCTAACTGGAAGGCTCTACCATTCTGGTGGTTCATATCCAACAGAGACTCCACAGGAGAAAGATGGGCAATCTTCTATAGTGTGATTTTCAGTCTTGGAAACCTAATGGAGTGTCAGCTATGAGTCATTTCTAGGCTGGCATTGTCATCAGTGTCTGTTCTGTAATTTGTGTAACATATCAGAGTGCTAAACGAAAGGTTGGCAGTTTGAATCCACCAGCTGCTCCATGCAAGAAAGATGAGCAATCCCCTCCTGTAAAGATTTTCATTTTTAGATACTGATATAGAGTTGCTATGAATCAAAAAGGACTGGCAAGCAGTGGTTGTGCTTGCTAAGGAGCCCTGGTAGCACAATCGTTAAGTGCTCATCTGATAACTGAAAAGTTGATTGTTTGAATACACCAGCCTCTTTTAGGGAGAAAGGTAGCCTTGGAATCCCTGTAGGGAAGTACTCCCCTATAGGACAGAATTCTCTGGAGTTAGAATCAATTTGAGGATATCTGCTGAGAATGCCTGTTTCTCTGTTATGTCAGACATTGTTACTCAATGGCAGACTTCATTCCCACAGAGCCCAGGGCCAGTTTAAGAATCATGCACACAGCATTCCAGGAAAGTCCTTATGATTCAGAATGGGGGAGTAATTCATTTGCTGTCTCAGTGGTCCATAATTGGATGTCTTAAATCTATTTCATTTTAAGAATTACCTGGAGTGCTTGTTTAAAGCACAGATTCTTGAGTTCCATCCCCAAACCTACTGAGTTAGGTTGAGAATGTGGATTGTTTACAAGAGTTTGAGGTGAGTCTTAGTTTGATCAGGGAGAATTAGGGGAACAAAACTGGACAAAAATGGGACACCTGAGATGGGTGGCTATGATGTCAAACTCCCACAGGCTAACAGGTAGATGCTCTGAGTTGTTTTCCCTCTGTACTGTGTATGTCTCCCTCCACTCTAGACGTCAGCTGGTTGACTGGCCATCGTCTCAATGGTGGCTTCATCTGGATGGCGGTTAGGCAAGGGAATTTTCTGGGATTCTTTTTGTTGTGTGTTATTGTTCCTTGTCCCCCCTCAAAAGCGGGTGGCCCTTGAACCTGAGACTAAGGTAAGGGTAGATCCCTCCTCGAGGGTGTGGATTTAAAATCCTATAGGGCCCTCAGGCCAAATTTATTAATTTTAATAGAATATTCTTTAAAAGACACTGCAATCATTTGTCTGTTTGCTGTACTGAACAACTTGAAGTTGCTGTGGTGCTGAACACTATCCCATAGTCATGTCATATACCATAATGGTTATCCATTATGTACAGTGGTTGGATGAGCTTCTGATTGATTCATGTTAGGAAGCAGGAATGGCATCCACTTCCTAAACTAGGTGCCTCTGGAAACTCTACAAACTCTCTTATAAGTGTACAGAAAAGATGTTAATAATAGAAAAAAGTTCTGGTCTTTTGCTTACTAAAAGCTTATACTGAGTCGTATTTGACTCGACAACACTTAACCACTGCTAAATGAGACGACTTATATCTCAATGGTGGTTTCATCTATCAACATAACTAGTTATGTTATACCTTAGAGGAACATTCTTCCACTTTGTACATCACTCTTTGTCAGTGTGTTATATGAGGTAACCTGGGTTTGCTTACTGAAACTTGTGCTATGGGGATAGCAAATACCAGAATGGTTTCCCGTTGTGGACAGTGTTTGGTGGAGCTCCCAGTTGTAAAACAGGTTGGGAAGCAGGAGTGGCATCTACTTCCTAAACCACATGCCTCTGGAAACTATATGAACTTGGAGAAACAGAGATAGCTGTGGAAAGGCATTCGATCTTTTGTTCATAGTATCGCTATGAGTCGACCTCGACTCGACGGCAATCAACAACAACAATAACAACTATGTATGTGCCAGAGTACTCTTGCAATCTAATTCTAGTTCCTGGTGACCTTGAACTTGTGCCACTGTCCCCTGAACTGTGCAGGTTGAAGATCCAGTTCACACCAGTAAGGAAAAGAAAATTGAGAAAGGATCGGTATCAGAGGACATCTGCACTCAAGAGATCATTGGTGTCTTTTCAGTCTTTGACTCATGACAGGACCCAATATTCCAGCGAGTTAGTCGAGAGAAAGGCACAAGGTGGGGAGCAGGATGGCATATTTTCCTCTCCGAATACAGAGTTTATGTGCAAGGTATTTCCTGGTACATGTACTGAGAAAGGACCCACTCAGCTCATATATGCAGGCCCCTCCATGTCAGCAAAGTAACACCAAGCACTTAACATCCATCTGCTTATTTAGAAGCAGTAAGATTGATAAGGAAGCATTCCTCTGAACATGTGGAGTCCTAGGTGGAGCAAACAGTGTGCTCTCTACTACTAATTGAAAGGTTGGCACCTCAAACCCAGTGATGTCCCTGAAAAAGAGTCTGGTGACTTATTTCCATAAAGACAACAGCCCCATGGAACATGAACTGGAATGGTTTCAACAAGAAGACATTTCATTTTATTATTATTACTATGGTTTAGCATATTGCTACAGACTTTGGGCATGTTGTTAGGACATGCTACTTTTTTGAAAGGTGCAGGATCAGCAAAAGAGAAGAAAACTCAACCATATGAATTGACACAATGTAGCAATTGGGCTCAGGTGTATTTTAGATGATAAGGATGTCACAGGACAGGACAGTGTTCAGGTCTACTGTTCCTGGTGTCACTATGAGTTGTATTTGATTGTATTTGAGTCAGTATCACCTAACAACAACAAAAACAACACAACATATTTTCCAGCAAGTTTCATTTTCTTTTTGAGTAGGAGTAGATTTTGAAAACTATCTCTCATTTGTTGCCAGTGAAAATGGAACAGTTCTCTAGCCATATTGTTGTAGGCCTCAGCACTGTCTGTGAGCAATTGTATGATTATCTCCCCAAGTCTGAAATGAAAAGCAGGTTCAAACCTTCTAGCATCCTCTACAAGACTGGGAGTGGAACAGAGCGGTAGTCTCCAGAATTATCTGCACACCAAAATCACCTGGGAAGCTTCTAAAACACTGTTGTTTCTATTGTATTCTGAGACTAATTTCATGGGTCTGGGGTGTAGCCTGTGTTTAGGGTTTTGGAAAGGCTCCATGAGATTCTGATGTGCAGGTCAGTCTAAGAAGAAGTGCACTCGAGAGATGTTTCAAACCTCAAGCCTCTAGATAGTACAGTTTAGGCTTTGGCATTAAAGTTCAAGTAGAAACCCTGAGGGCAAACCTGTTGAATTTATCAAGCTGCATTCTACATGAGCAAGGATATTATTTACACAAACCCTGAGCAGTTGGTGCAAAAAGTCAGTCAGGTCAGATATGTGTATACAGACACAATTACATGCTCATAAATACACAAATTGTCAATATTCAAAACAATCGGGGGTTTAAAGTTGTATAGTGTGTGTGTGTGTGTGTGTGTGTGTGTGTAGATATCTCCCCAGTTAGGGTTGCTAGATGAAGAATACTGCAGACCTAGTTAAAGGTGAATTTCAAATAAACAACAAATGCTTTTAATTAGTATATTATTTTTAATATAAGGTGTAAATACTGCATAGGACATGCTGTATGCCATCAAGTTGATTCTGACTTGTAGTGACTCTAGATGATAGAGCTGAACTGCCCCATGGAGTTTCTGGTTTGAATCCAGCACCTGCTCTGCAGGAGAAAGATGAGCAATCACCTCCCATGTGATTTACAGCCTCTGAAAACCTGCTGGAGGGTCAGTGATGTGTCAGGTTTGATTTGATCGCACATAATAGTGTAACAGCAATCTGTCCATCGGAAGTTGAGCTACTAACTTAAACACTGCACCCTGGAGGCTATAATTCACCAGCAGCTGTGTAGGAGAAATATGTGCAGTTTTATCTGACTAATCTACAGCCTTGGAAACAAGTGGAGGATGAGCTATGAGTGGGTTAAGATTGCACAGCAGTGAAAGTGAGACTGTCAATGGAAGCTGATCACTAGTATTTTCTGTTGCAGGGCTATTGTTCCAAACTACTAGCCTTTTTCTTGGCAGCCAAACTTCCACCACTGTGCCCCAGACCTCCTTTTTATTGGGACATAGTCATGCTAAAAGATGATATCTTATTTACCTGATCTTTAACATTAGCTGTATACCTAGTATTTTAATTCACTGGATCCGATGACACCACCTGAATCTTAAAGGGTTAACTGGAGTGGTAGAGCAAGACACGTCAGAATTAAAAACCAAACAAGCAGAAAACCTTAACCTTCTTGGTTAACTGCCTCAGGCGTCCCCTGACTTTGTCTGCAGGGAGGGTCACTGTACCTTATTCTGCCTCTTCTGTCTTCTCCGCAGCCTCAGGAACTCTTTATGCTGCCTGGAGACAAAGTTTACAGCTGCATACTCCAGCAAGGCAGCAAAGACGAAGAGAAGGCACACCGCCATCCAAATGTCAATTGCTTTCACGTAGGAGACCTGAAAAGAGAGAGTGAGAGCCATGGAATCTTGCAGAGGAAGCCAGCTTCCTAGTGAGCTGAGTAACAGAATGACCCCATTCCCTTTAATCAAGGACTTAAACAAAGCGTCAGTGCCATGTTCAAGCTTCTGGGTCACAGAATGGAAGTTTCCCTGCTCCTTGGCTCAGCCCCGTGTTCTGTCTCTCTCAAGATAATCCACCTGCTCAAGTAGCCTCTTCCCTGACACCAATGGTTGCAAGAACTTCCTTCACTGAGAAATGTAAGTGGGGAGCCCCAGGGAAGGGAAAAGGAGGAGAAATGCTATTGTGTTGCAGGGAATGCAGTCAATGTCATTAAATTAAAAGGGTATAAATGGTTGAATGGTTGAATTAATATGCTCTGTACACTTACACTAAAAATGCAATTAAAAAAATGCCTTCACTAAAAGGAAAGATTAAAGAAAAGAAAAATTTTGAGGTAAAATAAGATGGTAGTTGTGGTTGTTAAGGGCTGTGGAGTCCAGTACAACTTAGTGACCTTAGGAACAAAAGGTCTGAACCTGAACCTATCTTGTGCCATCCTCATCCTCTCTGACACACTGGAGCCCATTGCCACAGTGTCTGTCTATCTCATTGAGGTCTTTCTCTCTTTTGACCCTCTACCTTTCCAAGTATCTGCTGTGCATCTGAAAGCTGGACTATGAATAAGGATGACAGAAGAAGAATTGATACCTATGAGTTTTGGTATTGGAATATAATAGAAAATATCATGTGGACTGACAAAATAACAAAGAGATAGGTCTTCAAGAAAGTGCAATCAGAGTGGTTATTAGAGGCAAGGATGGTGACACTTTATCTCACATACTTTGGGCTTATTGTTAGGAGAAGCTATCCTATGAAGAAGAGCTATGGTGGCTTAGTGGTTAAGAAATTGTACTGCCAGTGCAAAGGCAAGCAGTTTGAATCCACCAGCTGCACTGCAAGAGAAGATAGACAATCTCTGAAAACCACTGTAGAGTCAGCTATGGGTCAGTTCTGACTCGACAGTACACAACTACAAACAATTCCTTGGAAGAGGACATCATGCTCATTTCTATCACCCAGCCCCCATTTAAAAAGGACACTCTGGTGGCACAGTCTATAGAGAGCTAAGCTGCTAACATAAAGGCAATGCCTCCTTACTAGGAACCCACCAGTGACTCTGTGGGAGAAAGTTAGACAGGCTCCTCCTATGAAATTTGCCATCCTCAGAAACCCACTGGAAGGGCAGCTGTGAGTCAGAGTCAGTTCTGTGTCAACAGCAGTGAGTTTGATGTTGTGGTAGGTTTTGTTTAAACATTTAAAAACTAGTATAATTAAGATAATTACAAAATTTGTGTGAGAAACACACTATGTATGGCTCTAAGGCCTTCAAACCCAAATTCCCATTCTCATCAACCTATTGAACTTATCTAATGTTAAAATACAGTTTTAAAAAACTTTCACGTGGGAAGAGCCAGGGTCTGGAGGTGGGTGAGAGGGCGGAGGGGTGCCCCGGTTTCCCAGGAGACCAGAGGGACAGGTGGTGACGGGCCAGGTTCTCAGGTGCAGAGAGCACACAACTGCAGTGGCAGCGGCTTCCAGCAGTGGCGCGTTACTGGGAGCTGCCTGCTGATGCCTGCAAATGCCGAGGAGCTGCTTGCTGTTGCCACACATGCACCAGGGAGCTGCTGTGATTTGAACTGCTAATATTTAGGATTAGCAACCTGATCCATTACACACCAATTTCTCTGAATCTAAAAATATATGTTGTTTGTTTATTAAGAATTAGAAGGCAGTTAATCCTTATTAATGGTAGCTGACACCTTGGAGTGCTTACCATTTCAGTATTTGAAGCCTTTCCCGTACATCCATTGTTTGAATCCTTAAAGCAACTGCATGATCCTCTTTTCTGATAAGGGTACTGAGGCCCAAAGGGATTAGTAATTTGTCTGAGATCACAAAGCTAGTCAGTGGCAGTGCCAAAACTAGTGAATTTCCTCTCTCAATACACCACCAGGATGGTACGGTTTATAAGCTTGCATTTCCCCTTGAGCTTTCTAGTTAGTATTTTTTCATGCCATTAGCTCATTTAGGTTCTTTTCAGGTTTTTGAACTACTGTAAGGTTTGCTGCTATCTCTGATTACTTGGAGACTGACTTCTGGATGAGGATTTCAGGAGCTGTTTGTTGCTTTCCCTTGATTTGATTCTAACGCATGGCGACTCCATGTGAATCAGATACCTGTGTTCCTTCCATAGGGTTTTCGGTGGCTGATTTCTTTGCCAGACTTTTCTTCTGAGGTGCTTCTTTGTAGAACAGAACCACTAGCCTTTCAGTTTGCAGCCGAATCCATTAACAGTTGCACCACTCAGGCCTTTTCATTAAAGGAGTAAGTGAAATGAAAATCGACTCTTGATAAAGAAAAGCCAGAGCACAGTGGAGCAAGAACAGAGTTTGAAGAGAGGCATCTGATTGCCAAGTTGGTAAGCCTTCCTCTGCCTCAATTCCTTATCTGTATAATAGGGACAGTCTTAATACCTACTTCATAGTTAGAATGTGGATAATTTGCTGAATGCTTGTAAAGTTCTTAGAATAGCTTCTAGTCCATATTAGGTATTAAATCAATGCTTGTGATTATTTGCCTCTATCAGAGTGTTTAGTGTTTATAGAGTTTTCAGAGGCCTGTTATTTAGGAAGTAAATAGCCAATCCTGCTTCTTAGTCTATCTTAATCAGGGATTAGTCATGATGGATGGAGAGGAGATTGAAACTGTTAACAGCTTCATCTTGCTTTTAACTATTAACACCCTTGGTAACAGCAGTCAGGAAATGAGGAGATGCATTACACTGGGAAAATCTTCAGTTAGGGACCTTTCCAAATTACTGAAGAGTAGTGATGTAAATTTGAAGACTAAGTTAAGATGCATCTGACCCAGATCATAGTCTTTCTGATTACTAGGTATACATCCAAGAGCTGGGCAATGAATAAGGATAACAGAAAAAGAACTGATGCCTTTGAGCTGTCGTGTTGGAGAATAGCACTGAATATCCCATGGATAGCCAAGAGAATGAACAGATACGTCTTGGAGAGGATGCAGCTGGAGTGCTATTTGGAAGAAAGAATGATGAGGCTTTGCCTCACATACTTAGAACATGTTGGGGGGAGGTGCTATTCCTTGGAGAGGGACATGATATTGGGGAGGAAGGGAAGGGTCGGCAAAGGAGAGGAAGACCCTTAACAAGGTTGATTGATATCATGACTGCTGCAGTGGGCTTCTGTGTGTCAGGAAGTGTGAGGATGGCACAGGATAGAAACGGGTTCAGATCTTTTGTTCATAGGATCACTGTGAGTCGTGCTTCATGGCTTGTAACAACATCAGAGTCTGATTTTGTTGATAGGGAAATTTTAGAAGAGACAGAAAAATTAGGGAAAATGAAAACTTCCCACAATACAAATGTGTTCCAGTTTAAGGTCACTGCCTGCCTTACATGCTTTGTCTCAGTGACTCTGAGCTGTTTGCCAGTCCACATTGGTTCCACCCTGAGATACTTATCTTTCTTCTTTCCATTAGCAGTCTCTTTGGAATCCCTCAAGACTTGACTCAGGTACCAACTCTCCTGAGAAGCCTCCCTAATCTTCCCATCTGGGTTAGGGTCTACTTCTGTTTGCTCTCTTTTCTCTTGGCATCAAATTCATTCATTTCTTTCTTTGTCCACCAGCTTTTACAGCCCTACCACTAACTGACTCTTTGTTGTCAAATTAAAACTGACAAGTGTTCAGAGGCTACAAATCACCTGAGAAGCGATCCCTATCTTTCTCCCTTGGAGCTGCTGATGAATTAGACGCACCAGAGTGGCACCATCTGTAGTCAGCCCCATAGCTGCCTCTAGGCTATGCCACAATAATTCCATGTTTTTCTTGGTCCACCAACTTCACCAGTCCTACCACTACACTGTAAGTTTTTCTCTTGAGGGTAAGCCCCATGTAATGTTGTGTACTGTCAAGTCAGAACTGACCCATAGCTGACCATCTGATGGATTGTCAAAAGCAGTTAATTGCATGGGAGGATATTGCCCATCCTTCTCCCACCAAGCAGCTGGTGGATTCAAACTGAGTACCTTTGGGATTCCAGCTCAGTTTCTTTTCTTTTTCTAAATCTTTTCCACATTTAATTTGTAAGCTACAATGGCAAAAGAAAACTGAAGGACAGAGAAAAATGATGTCATTACAGCAGCCACAGCATATAAGCAGCACATTTTCTTACCACTAGGCCACCAGAGCTCCCTCCATGTAATATTACTTCCTGTAAGACTGACGCACAGGACCCAGCAAATAGTAAGTATTAGATATGCAGGGTGAATAGTTGGATGGAGGGATGGAGGGATGGATGGATGGATGGATGGATGGATGGATGGACGGACGGACGGACGGACGGACGGACGGATGGGCAAAAGATAGATAATGAATAAGAGAAGTTAAAGAGGAGCAAAGGAAAGAAATATTTGGTTATTCTCCTTTATTATGCACAGTCAAATGTATTTGCTGCTTCTGTTAGTGGACTAATTAGAAGCTGCATTGCAATCCCAAAAACACCTGGTTCAAATCCACCAGCTTCTCCATGGGAGAAGGATGGGCAGTCTCCTCCCGTGTGATTTACTGCCTTTGAAAATCCTTTGGAGGGTCAGCTATGGGTTGGCTCTTAATCGACTGCACATAACAACAATAATAGTGGGCTATCAATCCAACATGTTTTTATTCTCTCCACATGCCTAGCATTATTGAAATATTTCTATGTAACCTATAATATGTATTTGCTCATCTGGAGCTCTTATGTTTTTCTGCAATAGTCACAGCATTCTGAATTACAAATTCAGATGGATTATAAATGTTTTAAGATCCAATAATGAGAGAAATTTGTGAATGCTTGAGATGTGTCCATCCCAAGAGCTTAGTCCTATACAGCTGACTCGCCATTCCCCTTCCTTCCTGTTGTTTACAGC